ATTCAAAAACCAAATTTAAGGCTTAACACTTGAAACTCCCTATTGTCCTTCCAATCTAATCCTCATCAGCAGAGGGCTTTGAGGAGCCACCAGCTTTCTTAGGCAGCAAAAGGTTATGAATATTGGGCATAACACCGCCATTGGCAATAGTGACATCTCCAAGCAACTTGCTCAATTCCTCATCATTTCTTACTGCCAACTGTATATGCCTTGGTACTATCCTAGTCTTCTTGTTGTCCCTCGCAGCATTTCCAGCCAATTCAAGCACCTGTAACCACCAAAATTCACATAAAAAATCAGAAACCCTAAATTAAAACAAACAACCTAGAAATTTTGTTATCAGTACATATTTATTGTTTAACTTATACAACATTAAAAAAATCTATAAACAGCATCATTTAACTTTAACCTATGTAATAAGTAGTAGTTTAGTTACGATTTTTATCATGTTAACAATTAATGCTAATGAAAATTTACTATAACTACTTTATAAGTGACCTGAAAAATGTAACTATATTTCACAAAACTGCTTTCCAGTCCAAACACTAAAGCAACTAACTCAATTATGGTTAATTAGTATGTGATTTCCCTTCAATTAATCAGTAAGACAATAATAATCAGTATACACCCATAATCATATTCCAATTTAGAAACCCTAGAAATTGAGATATCAAAAAGGAAAGAATTAAAGAGGCAAATGCAAAAACTCACCTCAGCAGCAAGGTATTCGAGGACGGCAGCAAGGTAAACAGGGGCACCGGCACCAACACGCTCAGCATACTTCCCGGCTTTGAGAAAACGGGCGATACGACCGACGGGGAATTGAAGACCGGCTTTGCTACTACGGGATGTAGCCTTCTTTGCTGCTCCAGATCCTAGGGTTTTTCCTCTACCTGCCATTTGATTGTTGTTACCGTAAAACAAGAATTAATTGGATTTGTTCTACAAAAATATGAGATTTTGAATGGGAAGCGTAATGGAGAACTGAGAGAGAGGATGTTCGGTGTTGGTAGTTATATAGTACTGAGGGATTTTTAAATGGACCAATGAGAAGAGAGCACAAGGATCGTGAGTTTGAGCCGTTGGATTAGAAGTTGATTGACGGTGAGATGAGGAAGCCGACGATTTTAACCGCTTTAAAGGATGGATGAGTTTGAATGTGACACGAAGGAAACAACTGGCGTTTTCCGGGATGTTTGAAATATGAATTGGTGAATGTATCCCTGAGGGCCCGTTTGGTTGGTGCTTGCGTAGAGTTAATTTCTGCATAAAACCAACATGGGGTTGTACATAGGGGTGGGCATATTTCGGTCGGAACCGAAAAAACCGATCGAACCAATTTTTTTTATTTCGGTTTCAGTTATTCGATTTGTTCAATCGATTTCGGTTTAAAATTTTAAAATTTCAGTTTTTCAGTTCGGTTTTCGATTATTAAGTTATTTAGTTTGGTTAACCGAAAAACCGAATTATTAGCATATAGGTTCTTTAAGTTATATATAGGCTAAACTCATAGGTAATAAATTAATATTATTAGGTCCAATCTATCAAAGGCTCAACCCAATTAAGTAAGTCCATCAACTTCCCAATCTTAAAGACTTTCACTCTATTAAAACTTTCATAGCATATATGATAGATACCGGGAGGATTTCACAATGAGTTATAATTTACACTATGTTTGAATTTTATGATCCATAATGTGCAAAGTTTAGTCTATTTTTTTTATAAACACAATATTTCCAACAATTTTTGAAGTTTTGGGAAAAAATAACAAATTCGTCAGTCCTATTATTACATTGAAGGAGCCCAATATGATAATGTTCAAATCGAAAACCGAACCGAAATTAGAAAAACCAAACTGAGCTGAACTTATTTCAGTTCGATTTCGGTTACTACTTTTACAAAATCGAAAACCGAATAATCGAACCGACCGAACGCCTACCCCTAATTGTACATTGTTTGGTTGATCATTTAAAAAAAGTTAATTTCGAAATAAAATTTAACTTAACTTATAGTATAATGTTTGGTTGATTTTTTCTTTTCTTCATGTTTCTTCATATATAATACCCACATAAAATAATAAAAAAATTATGTATCACTTTATGCGCGTTAGAGTATGATATAAGGATACAAATATTAAAGGTAAAATATATAAATGGCTTCTTTAAGTTATCTTTAACGATCCGATAAACACTTCAACTGACACATTTTTTATTTTGACACTTCCCATTAAGTGTATCAACTAATAACCCGATTGCAACAGACTATCTAAGTGAATTACGCTTGCCAATAGCGTGTCAAATGAACCAATTAAAGACGACACGTATAATTTTGATAAAAATTTGACACGTGTAATTAATAAAATTAAAGAGAAAGAACCCTCTCTCGCCCATCGTCTTCGCTTTTTTCAAAGAAAAAATTTTATTTTTCATTATCAGTCTTTTCTTACATTGATACAGTAAGAGAAAGAATCCTCTCTCACCCTCGCTTCGCAACGAACATAAACTCCAGCCACCGCTGATTAATTGTAGTATAATCTAAAGAAAGACAAATTACTTAAATTTTCAATTTTCCTAGAGGATAGTACAGTAAGAAGAAAGTTGCATATCCCCGCCATCGCTAGAGACAGAACTTTCGCCGGTAAATTTGACACCAGGCCAATTATTGTGTTGGCAGTGTTTGGCCTTCTTGGATTCGATTGGTGATATTCACAAATCTTCTTGTGTTCTTACAAAAGCAACTCACAAGGGTCAGCGATAAAACTGAATATTCTCCAAAAAGGTTTTCTGGCGTAGTTTCCTGTGAAGGAAGGAACTTCTTTTTTCATTTTTTTGATAACCTAAAAAGAGAAGAAAATGAAGAACGGGCAGTAATGAAACTGGAAAAATGATGTTCGGCCAAAAATGTATATATTTACACATTGTTATTTCATATTCTAGTATTTTTAATCGTCATTTGAGTATTAGTTATATTATTTTGTACTTAATATTATATTTTAACTGTGTAAAAATAAAACGGTGTGAAGATCAAGAGACTTGGACCAAAATTAGATAAAATATAGAAGAAAAAGAAAGACAATTAAATGAATATAAAAAGGGGACACCCTTTGGTCTTTGTCCCCCCAAGTGGAGACAGCAAAGAGAATTTATAATTCAAGAGAAAGAACCAACGGAATTGAACGTTTCAGCGCCAAAATCGGCGCTTGGCGCTGGCCTGTACGCTAATGCTGTATTTTGTCCCGGGTCCGGGCCTTAGTGGGCCTAACGGGC